CTGACAAAGAGAGGGATGAGCAGCTTTGTTAGACAGGCTCACTAACCTAGTGAGGAGGGTGTTAAACTAGGTGTGCCAGCGAATGCAGATCAAAGCCCTGAGGTAAGTGGGGGAGTGGGTGATCTGGAGGAAGAGCAAGTGGGAGTGGGCAACAGGGGATTCATTCTCATTTTTTTCCTGAGAAATTAGAGTTATCAGCTAGTTAATTCAGGTGCCTGTACATGAATGCACAAAGCCTGGTAAATGAGCAGGAAAATTGGAAGTTATTTCACAGTCACAGAACTATGACATGGAATAACAGAGACTTGGTGGGATAGCTCACATGACTGGAGCACTGTTATGGATGGGTATAAACTATTCTGGAAGGACAGGCAAGGGAGAAGAGGAGGAGGAGTTGCACTTTATGTAAAAGAGCCATATGATTGCTCAGAGCTCCAGAATGAAATTGGAGAGATGCCTGTTGAAAGTCTCCGGGTTAGGGTCAGAGGAGAGAGCAACAAGTGTGATGTCATGGTGAGCATCTACTATGGAACACCAGACCAGTAGGATGTGGTGGATGAGGCTTTCTTCAAACAGCTAGCACATGTTTACAGATCACAGGCCCTGGTTCTCATTTGTTACTTCAATCACCCTGACATCTGCTAGGAGGGCAATACAGCAGTGCACAGGCAATCCAGAAAATGTTTGGAGAGTGCTGGGGACAACTTCCTGGTGCAAGTGCTGGAGCTGCCAACTAGGTGCTGTGTTTTTCTTAACCTGCTGTTCACAAACAGGGGGGAATAGGTCGGCAATTTAATACTGGACGGCAACTTGGGCAGCAGCAGCCATGAGATAATTTAGTTGAGAATCCTGAGGAAAGGAAGGAAGAATATTAACACAGTAGGGACCCCCCTGGGCTTCAGAAAAGCAGACTTTGACTCCCTCATGGAACTCATCAGCAGGATCCCCTGGGATGGCAGTCTGAGGGGGACAGGAGTCCAGGACAGCTGGCTGTACTTTAAAGAAGCCTTACTGAAAGTGCAGGAAGAAACCATCCCAGTGCACCACCAGACTAACAAGTATAGAAGAAGACCAGTTTAGCTTAGCAGGGAATTCTTCAGTAAACTAAATCACAAAAAGGTACCTTATAAGAAGTGAAAAACTGGACCAACAACTAGGGAGGAGTATAAGAGTATTGCTTAGCCATGCAGGGATAAAGTCAGGAAGGTCAAAGCACAACTGGAGTTGCAGCTAGCAAAGAACATGAAGGGTAACAAGAAGGGTTTCTACAAGTATGTCAGTACCAAGAGGAAGATCAGGGAAAGTATGATTCCATTATTGAATGGGGGAGGAAACCTAATGACAGAGGATGCAGAAAAGGCTGAAGTACTTACTACCTTTTTCACCACAGTCTTCACAGGTAAGTTCAGCTCCCAGACTAGTGCATCTGGTAGCACAGTTTGAGGAGAAGGTGAGCTGCCAACTGAGGCAAAAGCACAGATCAGAAACTATTTAGGAAAGCTGGACATATACAAATCCAAGAGACTGGACAGGATGCACCTGAGGGTGCTGAGAGAGTTGGCCGATGTGGTTACAGAGCCACTGGCCATCATCTTTGAAAACTCATGGCAACTGGGAGAGGTCCCGGGCAATTGGAAAATGGCAAATAGAGTGTCCATCTTTAAGAAAAGGAAATAGGAGGATCCCAGGAACTACAGAGCAGTCAGCCTCACCTCAGTCCTGAAAAAAACATGGAGCAGATCCTGAAGGAATCCATTTCTAAGCACTCAGAGGAGAAGAAGGTGATTAGGAACAGTCAGCATGGATTCAATGAGGGCAAGTCATGTCTAACCAAACTGGCTGCATTTTATGAGGAGATGACTGGCTCTGTGGATGTGAGAAGAGCAGTAGATGTGGTATACTTGGACGTTAGCAAGGCTTTTGATACGGTCCCAAACAACATTCTCACAGGCAAGCTAAGGAATTATGGGTTAGATGAATGGACTGTAAGGTGGATAGAAAGCTGTCTGGATCATCAGGCTCAACAAGTATGGTTAATGGCTCAATGTCTAGTTGGCAGCCAGTATCAAGTGGAGTGCTCCAGGGGTTAGTCCTGGGACTGGTTTTGTTCAATATCTTCATCAATGAACTGAAAGATAGCATAGAGTGCACTCTCAGCAAGTTTGCAGATGACTCCAAGCTGGGGGGAGTAGTAGATACACTGGAGGGGAGAGTTAGGATTCAGAGAGACCTAGACAAGGTGGAGGATTAGAACAAAAGAAATCTCATGAGGCTTAACAAGGACAAGTGCAAACTCCTGTATTTAGGATGGGATAATCCCATGCATCGCTACAGCCTGTGGACTGACTGGCTAGATAGCATCTCTGCAGAGAAGGACCTGGGGGTTCCAGAGGACAATAAACTGAATAGGAGTCAACAGTTTGCCCTTGTTGCCAAGAAGGTTAACAGCATACTGGGCTGGATTGTAAGAGTACTGCCAGCTGAATGAGGGAAATTATTATCCCCCTCTATTTAGTACTGGTGAAGTCACATGTGGAATAAAGTGTCCAGTTTTGGGACCCGCACTATAGAAACAAGATGGGCAAATGGGAGAGAGTCCAGCAGAGGGAAACAGAAATGGTAAGGTGGCTAGAGTACATGGCTTCTGAGGAGAGACTGAGGGAACTGAGCTTATTTAGTCTGAAAAAAAGAAGACTGAGAGGGAATCTGTTACCAACCTTCAATTACTTTGATACTTCAATTACTTGAAGGGTGGTTCCAAAGAGAATGGATCTAGACTGTTCTCAGCGGTGGCAGATAACAGAACAAGAATCAATGGTCTTAAGTTGTAGAAAGGGAAGTTTAGGTTACTAATTAGGAAAAAAAAAAACTTTCTCACTAGGAGGGTGGTAAAACACTGAAAGAGGTTAACCAGAAAGTTATGGAATATCTATCCTTGGAGGTTTTTGAAGACACAGGTAGACAAAGCCTTGGCTAAGATGATATACTTGTGGATGGTTATGCTTTGAGCAGGGGGTTGGACTATGTGACCTCCTGAGGTCCCTTCCAACTTTAATTTTCTATGATTCTATGACCAGGACAGTTTGTATATAGCTGGTGGCTGGAACCTAAATAACACTAAGACCCAATTAAGTGCTTTTTGAACCTGAAGTGGCCAGAGTAGCAAGCCTGTTAAACCTGTTTGAATGTGTCACTGAAAAATGAGACACTCTTTTGAACTGAGGACTTGTGAACCAGGTGTGTATTATGCGTTGAGACTACCTGTTCTGTGGCATAGGTCTCATCTGTTCTTGAGACATCCCACAGTTCTTGAGACATTCCACACTACATCACAGTTGGAAAGATGAGGCGATAATCACACACTCATCGACCCCCAGAAACCCCTGAGATATGGCTCAGGGACTACAAGAAGCCCTATGGAGCCCTGAGCAGATGGATATCAGAGAGGACCTTTCTCAGCAGCAAGAGAATGCCACAGAGGTCCACAGCTAGTTTGTTAATGAAACAAGATTAAAGGATCATGAATAATTTTATGGAAGATGTAGGATGATTTACGAGGGAATTATTGTTCTCTGGGTAGTATATGATATATGTAGTTGTGTTTGTGGTCCCTGAATTACAGGAGTAAGTGGAGGATCCCTGGTTATACCATATTTCTGGTATTTTGCTGGTTACCACATAGGGCGAGGAAAGTATTTCCCCTCTCCTCTGGCTACAGGTGTCAGGTGTTTGTTCATTTGTTTGTTTTATCTTCCACGGAAACACTGGCTGTTGGCAACAGCAAAAGCTAGGGACTTTGACTTGCTTGTACTGATATTTCTGCTGAAACTTAAAAACATAGGGGATCCTGGTTAGCAGTTCTTGCTCCTTCATGCAGGGTCAGAAAGATCACCACATTTGGGATAAGAGGGAAGTTTACCCCATGGTCAGATTGGCATGGACTGTAGTAGATTTTTTCTTTCTCTGTGGCAGGGAGAAAGATGGGGAAGGACAGCCTTCTTCCTTTTACCTTTTGATTGTAGTTTAACAAAGTATTTCCTATCCTAGCAGTGGCAGGACACTGACAGTAACCTCATTACCTGGTTTACATGTGGCAAATGAATGCACGTTTTTGATCTTTTTGCCGTTGTGGCCAGTCAGTGTATGTGAAGTTGTTTGTGAAAGTTTAAGAGTAAGTTAGACAAATATTTACCTTTATGAATCATGATTACTTCAGTGTCTAAGCTCCCAGGAGTCATCCTGGGGAAAAATACATCCTGTCAATGAAGTAGAATTGGGATAGTAATGCCATAAAATACAATTCCAATGAGTAACCACAGCAACAGTTCCAAATTAAAACTCTCAGGGTCTGCAGAAACTTTTAAAGACTTGGTCCAAAGCATCTGTAGTTTAAAGTGCAAGGAGGAGGACACAAATTTGATTGTTTTCCATTAGCAAAAATAAAAATAAAAATAAAAAACTCCATTTCTCATCACAATGCTGCTTGCAGAAAATATTTTCACCACACAAATGATAAAACATGTAATTCTGGAGACACTTTTATTTCATTGTAGAGTTCTTATTTCAGTCTGGTAGAAGTCCATTATGACAATAGTGCCAGCTAGGTAGAAAAAAAATCTCAAATTAAAATGTTCAATCAGCATTGAGTATTAAACTAATCTTTAAAAAGTAAGACCAACATGATTTCTTGAAGCAGAAGTAAAGTTACAAGACATTGAAAAGCACTATATAATATATGTATACATGCCAAGGGATGAGAAAAAAAATAGATGATACCTTTCTTCAACCAAGCCTGAAGCAACCCCATGGAACATGATAGAGAGATCTTGTTACACTGTAACATCACAGGTTTTAAGAAGCAACTGAAACTTTCACTATTAAAATGTGTTAATTGCTAGGAAACAATTGCAAAGCATAACATTCTGCACAGCTACACATAAACTATGTTCTCCTCTTATAGCTAGTCTTGGCATCCACTCAGATGCAGCCTCATAATCCAATTATCTGAGAAAGTTTTTCCTAGCTATTAACCTTCTTAGGGTATCCTTCACCTCTTTGTTCCTCAGGCTGTAGATTATAGGGTTCAGCATAGGGACCGCAAGGGAATAAAATACAGAAGAGACTTTCTCCTGCTCCAATGAGTAGCTGGAACTGGGTTGGATATAACTGAAAGTAATGGATCCATAGAACACAGTGACAGCTGTTAGGTGGGAGATACAAGTAGAGAAAGCTTTACGCCTACCCTCAGCAGAGCAAATCCTCAGGATGGCAGACAGAACGTACAGATAGGAGATGAAAATCATTGAGAGGGAGAAGGCAGCTATAATTCCAGAGAAGACTAAGAGCAGAGTTTCATTGTTGTGTGTGTCAGAGCAGGCAAGCTCTAGCAAGGGAGGAAGATCACAGAAGAAATGCTTGATGGCATTAGGCCCACAGAATGGCAGTCCCAGGAATCCACAAGTGTATACCAGTGAGTTTGTGTGCCCTCCAATGTAGGATCCAGAAAACAGCTGTATACAGATTCTTCTGGGCATAGTAACAGTATAGAGTAGTGGGTTACAGATGGCTAGATAACGGTCATATGCCATCATGGCCAGCAGAAATGCTTCTGTGGTTACTAAAAGAGCAAAAAAGGAAAATTGAGTGATACATGCACCATAAGAAATGGTTTTGCTTTCCATTAAGAAGTAAACCAGCAACCTGGGAGCAGAGACTGAAGAATAGAAGAGGTCTAGAACAGACAAATTACTGAGGAAAAAATACATGGGGGTGTGAAGTTGGAGATTGACTTTGATCACTGTGATCATCCCAAAATTCCCTAAAAGGGTGTTGACATAGATCACAAAGAACAACACAAAAAGGAGGACCTGCAGCTGTGGATGATCTGTCAGTCCCAGCAGGATGAACTCACTCACTGTGGTTTGATTGTCCCGGTCCATCTGTCCTAGATTGCATTTATGAAGGCAGATCTGCACATAAGAGAAAACTGAGTATGAATATTAGGACAGAAGTCAAAGGAAATGTATATCTTAACTCTGTTTGCACTGGTAGTATCTGTTTGATGTGTATTGGTCAGCCCTATCGATTGCCAATCACTTAGTCTTCAATAGCACTTGTGTAAACGCTAATGCTTGTTTATTACAAACGGGTAACTCACAGAAGCATAGAAAAGTGGGACTGAGGAGACAGTAGAGTAGCAGAGCAGAACCAGGCCATAAGCCCTGGGTACTAAAAGAATGGGTCACAGGGATGGTATTCAGAGAAGGACTTCAGGACAGTACAGGAGTTGTATCAGCTACTGGAAGTTCATTGGGGCAGGGGGAAGGGGCAGAGGGGAACTCACATAGACCTTGGGATTTAAGTCTGTGTGCAGGGAGGAGTTAGGCCATCTTAAGTGTGGGTGCTGCTGAATTCAGTGTTGTCACAGTGGGGTGGTGACTGCATTTGGCAGCAGTGGGCTATGCTTAAGGCCCCTGACTATTGGCCTTACAGTGCCAACACTTTCCCATGGCAACAACAGTGTCTCCCATGGCATCCCTGGTGTTTGCAAGAAGGGCACACATCTTATCAGTTATGCCTCTGCTGAAAGAGACCTGAGGAAGTCATTCAAATCCCACCTCCTGATCAAGACAGGATCATCTCTATCTAAACCTTAGTGTGTGTGTGTGTGTGTGTGTGTGTGTGTGTGTGTGTACACATATGCATATACACACATACATATGTACATATACTTACACATATACATAAAACAGTTTTAAAACTTCATGAAAAACCCTCTTGCACTAATGCCAGGCACAATGTCCAAAAATATTAAAAACACTAGCCCTATGGACACATATAAGACTAGTTTAAATTCAGTTTAAACCTGCAGTGGACAGAGTTGCAAGCCTGTTACAACTGTTTGTAACTTCCTGGAAAATTAGGCTCACTTGAATTGGTGACTTGTGAACCAGGTACATGTTATTTGTAGATACAAGTCATTCTATGACTTTGGTCTTGTCCGTTCCTAAGGCGACCCACACTGCATTGCACTTCAGCTACCATTGAGTGCTGTAACTGGTCACCCTGGTTACTAGCCAGAACTCTACTATCTACTTCAGCTGGCAGTCTTTAATCAATGAACTCACATGTACTCCTTATTCTGTAAAAATTATACATTTTTTTCACAACTAACTGTGTCCTCACTACCTACTTGACTATAACTCCTCATAAATGTGGGTTCCCACAAACACTGCTTATTCCCAGGGAAACCATGCCAGGCAAGCACACTTCAGGGTTTTCTCAAGAGCAGGCTACTGAACAGTACTGAACTCATGTTTAGAATGGAAGGAATAGCAGGCAAGTGAAAACAACCCAAGCCACAAGTCATTCATCCTCTTCAGCTCCAAAAGATGGGTGTGAGCACATGCACAGCCCCAGACACCTAGAGGCATGCAGGTCTGAATGTCCACTCCCACCCCTGGTGCTGGAGTCAAAACAGTTACACCATATACAATTGTGCATGATTCCTAACTGGTGACATTTGGGTATTGTTCAGTTGTTATGTGTCCACACCCTGTCCCACAACAATTGCAAACCAATACCCAACCAGTAATTTTTTTTGGAATGTATCATTATGTGCACCCATATCCTATCTTGTTGAAGGAAGAGAAGGGGGATGATGGCAGTATAAGTATCCTGACACTGTAAGAACCAGAAGAAGATGTTAAAGTACTCTCAAGACATCCAGTGAAGGAGGCTGTGCCTGCTTTCACAAGAGAAAGGGGAAATCCCCCATAATCCATATCAATCTGACCATGGAGTAAAATTATTTCCTGATCCCAAATATGGTGATCTGTTATCAATTCCTTTATGCCAACAGTATTTGTAGGAATTAGCCATAAGGTCAAGGGAGAAAAATAGATGATAAAAGTAAGACTCTGGTTAATTGGTAAGCCTCTCTTATGATGCAACATAGTCACCAGAAGATGTGTTTCTTTAAGGGACACAAACTAAATCTCTCCAACCTGAAATTCCTGCTTCTCTGAAAAAGTTGTAAGGTGGACCCAGGTCCCAGTAAGAACTGTTTGATTCAGTTAGTGTCTCTGCTAATACACACACACACACACACACTTCTCACCTCATCCACTCCTGGGTGCCTCAGGAACTTTGCCTTGCTGTCAATGTGTATATTTCCATCTCTGCTGCAACAGAAATCAAACAAGACCATTAGGTACTGACCTTTTAACTTCAGTCAGGTGCTTCTCAAGTATTTATTCTAATCATAGATGCTTTGAGGGAGCTGAGGAAACATGGCAATTCTATCTCCACCAATAGGTGTAAACATTGCAACAGGTACAAACAACACTGTTTCTGGGATGGACCAGCTGCTTATGCTAAAACAGAAAGATTGAGAAGAAAATACATTTTTATTTTTATACACACAGGCAAAAGGACATGACATCCCTAGAGTATAGCACCAACCCCAGCCTCCAGTTGGGCAAAGCTGAAATCCCTAACATGCCCCTGGGGAGCATGCAGTAATCAGCCCCAGATGCCATTAGACACATTATCTAATGTTATCAACTTCTACCAATGGTAGGACAGCAAAGTACTTTGCCTTACTTTCTCAGTCCCAGCCCCACAGGTAGCACAGCACAGAGGGGCTTTGAGGCTTGTTGTGCTCTACTCAGGCTAGAGGCTTAGCAGAGATTTCATCTCCATCTGAATCATTTGAATTTCACGCAGATTTTATCAGGGTACTGTGATGGGGCAAGCTCCCAAGCTGGATGGTCATGCGGCCCCACCTCCTGTCTGTGGGCACACCTCCTGCCTCACTTTTCCGCCACACCTTGTTGTAAAGTAATTGGAATGTTAATGTCATTCTCCCCTTGTACTTGGCCTTAGTGAGGCCGCAGCTGGAGTACTGTATCCAGTTTTGGGCTTCAGAATTCACAAAGGATGTGGAGAAGCTTGAGAGAGTCCAGAGAAGAACCACGTGCATGATCAGAGGTCAGGAAAACAGACCTTATGATGACAGGCTGAGAGCTATGGGGCTCTTTAGCCTGGAAAAGTGCAGGCTCAGGAGTGATCTGATGGCCACCTATAAGTTTTTCAGGGGTGACCATCAGTATCTGGGGGAATGTTTGTTCCCCAGAGCACCCCAAGGGATGACAAGGTTGAACTGTTATAAACGACTGCAAGACCATTTCAGGCTGGACATAAGGAAGAATTTCTTTACTGTCCGAGCCCCCAAGGTCTGGAATAGCCTGCCATCGGTGGTGGTTCAAGCACCTACACTGAACTCCTTCAAGAGTAAATTGGATGCTTATCTTGCTGGGATCCTATGACCCCAGCTGACTTCCTGCCCTTCAGGCTGGTGGCTGGACTTGATGATCTTCCGAGGTTCCTTCCAGCCCAAATTCTATGAAATCTATGAAATCTATAAGGCAGGAGGCTGCCTTCGAGTGCCCAGCTGTAATGGGCAGTACATACATGCTCTGACCTTCCCTTACACATGTCCCATGCCTTGCAGATGACATAACATTTGTTCTAATTCCAGCTTAAGGCCGGGCCAAACTCAGTGCATAATTTGGTCTCTTACACACCACCCTGTTCTGGGCCACATGTGCACCCCCCTCTCTCACAGGAGCCTCTTTCACTCTGCCCTTCTTTCACAGGGGCTTCTCACATACTGCCTGTCCCTGGGCCACACACACCCTGTCCTGCTCCCTTGAGCATCCCCATCGGGTAATCAGGATTAGCTCTTCGTTCTTTGAGTGACCCTAGCTCAGCCTTTTGGGTCTCTCCGCGATCTTCATCTGAGTGGTTGCCAGTCAATTCTCCAACTCCAGGCTGATTATGCCCCTAGCACCTCATTGGGCCACATTACCCCTTCCTCAGGCCAACACTCCACCCCTACTCTGGGGCTCCAGGGTTGAATACCCTGCTCAGGCTCAGGTGCTCCTCTCTCAGTGTACCTGGCCCACCACTCTCAATGACCCACCAGATGGCACCCTACCCACCTTTCACTGGAGAGGTTTTCAGTCCCAGCTTTTAAATGGCACTGCCCTGCCACAGGCAGTCCCACCAGGCCTGCCTACCCCAGCAGGGTGCAGTTTTAGGTCATGCCCAGAACCAGGAGCCTCCTACTTCCCCATAGCCCCTTCCCTTACTTCTGAGATGTTCCAGGAGCAGTAGCTCGCTCTCAAAGCCAATTGTTTTTTTGTGGGGGGGGTTGTTTTGTTTTTTTTGTTTTTTTTGTTTTTGTTTTTATGGAGAGAGCTGGCTTGCAGGCCAGGGCTCTTTTGCTGGGCAACTGCATTTTCTGGGAAGAGGTTGGTTTCAAGCCAGGGTTCTTGCAGGCCCAGGCTCCTGTCTGGGGAGAGTTGGCTTGCAAGCCAGGGCTCTTGCAGAGCAACTGCTTTTCTTCTGGGGTACTGTGGGGTACTTTCTGGGGATATGTTTTTTTCAAAATTGGGTTATTGCAGGTCAGGCCTGTTTTCTGGAGAGGTGTTTCTTTCAAAGGTCAGTAACCTGAGAATGGGGTGGCACAGGTGACAACTATCTACCATTTTCTGTGTACATACTGCTTGGGTGTGCTAATTCATTGATCTGGTAAGAACAATTATCTTAAACCCAGGGCACCATTGGTCATCCTAAACCCCACAGCTGAGTTTGAAGTGGGTGAGTGCATGGCGCATCACCTTTCCCACAGCCCCCAACCACAGTAAAGGGGAAAAGCTCTGCTGCACCAACACCCAGTGCATGAACACCTGACTGGAGTAATCACTGACATGCAGATAGGAAGACACTCGCAGTGCTAATTGATTGAATGCAGCTTCCATTACCACTGAGAGCCTCCACACCCACCCTTGCCCTCCCTGTGCTTGGTAGTGGTGCTGTGTGCTGAGAAGCAGCCCTGCTACATACATGCAAGCAACCTGGCTTCGTAGAATCCAGACGGGATGAGCAAGAAGGAGCAGATGGAGATTCAAGAAGAAATGTGTGAGAGGGACATGGAGAATGGTGACAAAATGAGTAAAGACACCAACAAGGAGCATCTGGATGACGTGGGTGAGGAGGAGGAGGAGGAACTGTTGCTAAGTATCCTACTGCTAGCCTTGGACTTACTGTATGCAATAAAGACACAGGTAATGATAGCAGTGTATGCTATGACCCTGCTTCTAATCGCTTGAGATGAGATGCCTGCACGTAGACACACCTTGCGAAAAAAGGCACTTAGATATGCAGTGGAGTGGGATAGCCAAGAGGCAGGCACAGAATTGCATGCTGATAGGGCTCTGTGGATCACCCTCAGGAGCAGCAACCGCAGGGTCTGGGCCCACACTAGCAGCTCAGACTGTTGGGAGTGAATCGTATAGACCCCTTGGAATGACCAACAGTGGCTGGAGACTTTCTGAATGACCGGGAAGACTTTTAATCACATCATCTTCATGCTGGTGCCAAAAATTGTGAGGCAGGACACTGTCATGCATCCAGCCATTGTGCCAGACAAGAGGGTGGCCATGGCCATGATGAAACTGGCCATTCTGTCCAGGCTCCAATACATTGCATGTAGGACATTAAGGCAAACAACTTTATTTGCCTCAGTAACATGCAGGAAGTTTTTGATGGGCTCAAAGCCATGGGGTTCCCTAACTGTGTGGGGCCTTTAGACAGCACACACATCCCTGTATGGTTTCCCTCAGAGGGGAGAAGTCATTCAGAAACAGGAAAGGATTTGCATTGGTGATCCTGCAAGCCATGGTCGATCACTGGGGCTGGTTCATGAACATTTATACAGGGTGAACAAGCAGCTTGCATGACGTGTGTGTGTTCAGAAACTCTCCACTGCTTGGCTTGATGGAGAACGGACACTATACACCTGGAGTCCCCAAGACAGTGATCAGTGATGTTGCCATCCCCCACCTATAATAGCGGATGTTGCTTACCCCCTCAAGTCCTGGCACATGAAGTCTTATGGAGAGTACATTATTGACCCTCAGAAGATGACTTTCAGCTACCATCTAAGGAAATACAAGATGGCTGTTGAATACGCCTTTGGTCACCTCAAAACACAGTGGACAACATTTAACTGCAGGCTTGAGCTGGACCCAGAAAATATAACAGCCTTTATAGTGGCAGCCTGCATGCTTCACAATATTTGTGAAACCCGGGGGTAGGTTTTCAGTGAGTTATGGCCTGATGAAGCATGAGAGGCAGTGACCCAAGAGAGATGTGGGTGGGCAGTGCGGAGCATGTGACAATACCAGCATGGAGACACTGGTTGCGTGATGCTTGTGCAGAATTGCCTGGCAGCACATATTATCGATGCTGCCAGCAACTAGCAGTGGTTGTTCTTTCCATTAAAATACCATTCTTGCCTATTTACACCAGAAACCATCTGTGTCTTCAGTACTTTTTTGTGAAAACTGGCGGGGAAAAGGTTTTGGTGAGGGTAGGGGGAAACCAGGGTGGAGGATGGGTAGGGCATGGGGGGAAGGGTTGGAGCAAGTGCCTGGACTGGGGTACACGGGTATTGTTTGCAGGCTGGGATTGAAATGGGGGAGGGGGATGGGCACGCACAGCTCAATGTCCGACACCACCTAGCCACCCTGGATCATGTTCTGTGAAGGGTTAATAAACCTCTCCTTGGCCCAGGTGGGGGTGTGGGTGGGGTTGGTATGAGCAGCCTGCAGGAGTTCCCAGGTTTTTGGAATGTGACGGGGGGAGAAGGGAGGGTTCATTTGCTTTGGTTGTTGGGAGGACAATAATCCTCCTAAAGGTGTCTCCGGTTGAAACATTATATCCAACTGCTTCTTAGCCAGCTTTTATATCCAACTGTGCCAAGAATGTTTTTTTGGACTAAACGAAAGGTGTCTGTTTACTACCTCATAATTGTTTACTGATGTGCTGAGATGCTGAGATGCATCTAAATGCAGAAAGATTGGGAGAAAGATTGGGAGGGACGGTGCAGGCCACAGTCACCCCAACATTGCACAGAGCCATGTGCTGTGCAAAACACACAATTATGGGCATTATGTGCAGATATTCATGTCATCACTGCACAGGGGTGGGGGGGAAGCCACCCCTTTCACGGGTCCCCATGGAAACTATACCAAACCCAGACAGCTGGGGGATGCTGGGAAATGTAGTCCTGAAACACGGGGGGGAAAAAAACCTGTTGGATGGACCTGAGGTTTTCCCACCCCCTCCCCCCTGAATGTACTATACTACCCTGGCAGACAAGGTTCCTTGGGTGAATCTGATATCTTTTATTAGACCAACCCAAATAGTTGGAAAATAATTATTAAGCAAGCTTTCAGGTTCAAAAACCCTTTGTCAGGCTAAGGAAGTTTCAGCAGCTGGTGTGTGCTCTTCCTGGATGGCATACTACCCTGTTAATTTTTGTAATTAGTGTTAATTGCAAATATCTGTTTTGCATGAACCATCACCACAACCAACAGCTGTAAGTGCCACTGGCAATGTGGGAGAGGATAAGGAGCAGGTGTGCTATTCATTCCTTTTAGCCCGTATACATTTATATTTCTGATATAGTTAAAAAAAAGTATTATATGTATTTACATTATTTTTTAACATGGGAGTTCATGCTGTTCAGGGGTGTGGGAGGGGATGACATGCACGGCTTGGTGTGGGGATCCCTGTCATGGGCTGCCTGCTGGAGACTGGACCCCAGGAGGGTGCAAGTGATCGCGACTTGGCAGGGGCAGGGGGGTTAGTGAGAGGCTCCTGGGTTCGGGAGGGGCACTAAGGAGGAAGGGAATTACTGGCATATTACTTACTGGTGTATTACTTACTGGTGCACATGTGCCCCCTGCTGTAATTCAGTAGGGAAGACAGCATGGGGTAAATTGGTATTTGCCTCCCCCTGCTGGAATTTACATGGAATTGCACACCGGGCTGAATTTATTCAAAAGCCTAGTGTGTGCAAACACTGACACAATGCTCCAAAATAAACAAGTCTAAATTTTATAGATTTATTTAATTATATTAGGATTAAACCCCATGATGCGTACAGGCAAAAAAATTGAAGATTTTTTTTTTTTTAAATCAGAAACAAACAAACAAACCCAGGATCCCTGTTAATGTCACAGATTGCAGAGTGCTTTCCTGAGGGTGCACCAGCCTCTGAGGTATAAGATGCAAATTGTATCTGGGTACATAACTGTGACTTAGCCATGACACAACAGGATTGAAACTGGATGGAGTCAAGTCATGGCTGTTTTTGTATTGGATGCACTAAGAAATACAAGGGGCAGATCATTTATCCTGTTGTCTTATACAAGCAAGTCAGCTCTGACTTCAGGTTCTGGGAGCGTTATTTTATACACAGAACAACCCTGCCTCCACAATAAACAGAAGGACAAAATCTTAAACTAAATCAATCTTTTCTTCTTTTTCCAAAAACTGAGAGGAGCAATCCCTCTCTTCCTGTACCTGTGGGGCCTAGCATCCCCCTCCTGGTTACCTACCTGTGGAAAGAGCCATAATCCAGAGTCTGTGGAGGGGTACTGCCTTGGGCCATGGACATGCATTTTGTGGGGCTGGAGGGGAGGAGGTATTCTGGCAGAGATCACTGTGCACCAGCTCTTTTGGGGGCAGGTGACCTATATTCTTGATGTGGCAATGTCAAGGAGACTAAGCATTGTCTTGGGGTCTCAGTAGGACCAATAGAGTCTCTATGGTTTATTTCTATGGCTTGAGACTGATGATTGCTTTAATCTGTACTCTACCAAGGCCTACAAGAAGCAAGCTCTTGGGCAATATGAGGGGCTGTGGGAAAAAGCAAGTTTGAGAAGGGTTAGGGAAATATGGTGTACTTTGCAGCCATAAGAGATGTGGGCACCAGGATTTTGCTTGCAGTTAGGATTTCACCCTTCAAGTGACTGTATATTCTAGGATGACTGAATGTCTTTTACTTTCTGTGTTTTATCATGAGAAACTTTCTTCTAAGGCATACAACCCAATCATGCTTAACTTAGAGGGTTACAGAGATATACTTATCACTTGGTATTTCTATCTAAAAATGCTGAGATCTAGAAATTTTCTCAGAGAAGGCAGGTACTTCCTATGAAAATTTTTGTTCTGTGAAGAATGCACTTTTCCATCCAGAAAATGTTTTCATCTAGTTGTTGCCATTTCATATGGAGCAACTTTGTATCTTAGGATGGAATCATTCATGTTCTAAGCAATCTTTCATGTCTAATTCAAGTGGAAAATAGCTTCCTTTCAGGGGAAATTTCCAGGTGATCCCGCTCATTGAAGCAAAATTTGTAATTATTTTAGTTAAGAGAAAAAATAAATAGAGTAGGTGTATGTTCTGTCACTAAGACTTCTGGGAATGATTATTGCAATCTCTGAAGGAAAAAATTATGCAAATGTGCAAGGCCTGAAACTGGGACCTTTACCACACTTGTGGGATTTCATCTCTCACTGCCTTTTAACAGCAACATAAAAAACACCCCATGTCCTTGAGCTATAAATATATTGAAAAGTGAACAGCCTGCCCCTCTGTGAAGCAGGGAAACATAGTACTTCTGCCCTTTTGCAGAGGTGCAATTCTGTCAAATCTCCACCCTGGACAGAGTGAACTTTCCCACCTTCCTAAGTACCAGTACTTGAAAATATGCTTGCTTGTGGATACAAAGCTGACAAATGGCATCTGAAGTTATTGTTTGTCTCATGTTCAAAAGGGGATGAGTCGAAACTGACCATAGAAAGGAGAAGATCATGAAACATACAGAAGCCTCTGTGATACAGATGACAGGCTGCTAGCTGAACGAGCATCTGAGTCACACACTTCCAATCTGGAATTGGATCTGCCTTCCTACTTCCCTAAGGAAGGTGCCTCTTCAGGTTTGGAGTTCTATGTTTAACCCTTAAAAAAATAAGAGCCAAAAAAAAATCAGGATGGGTGTATAGATACATATGGACTACTGGTTTGGCCGTTTAGTTCCATAGACAGATCCATGGTTTTCTAAAGGTGGGGGAGGGGAGCAGCAGCTGGCACTGCAGGGGTGGCTGCACCCCCTGCTCCAAACCTAGCTGTGTGCCCAGAGTGGGCAGACCATGCCATAGGAGCGGCAGCTAGGGACTTTTTTAAACTTCCCAAATTAGGTAAAAATCTCCCTCTCCTCCACCATTCTTAGCACCTCCTCCCTTCCCCTCCATGCTCGGCAACACATCCCCTTCCCTCCCCTCCTTGGCCACCACAGCTGCTGTCCCAGGCTGATCTGGAGGTGAGGATATCTCAATAGTCACTCCTGCCCTGCTGCTGTGGACAGAACAAACAGCAGCAGGCAGGTTTCCTCTTCCTGAGCCTGCTCCCAGGCTGGCAGGAGACACTGGGGAACCAGGATGGCAGGGAGAACATACCCAGTGCTGCTGCTGTTCTTGTCTGGAGTACAACAGTAGTGCATGAGAAGCCATCCTCTACCCATGGGTAAGCCAGGGCATAGTGGAGACAACAACAACGCCAGACAGGGTAGGAGAGGGAAAGTGCTGATGAGCATAGAAGGGAAGGGAGGCAGGGAATTCTTACATGCTTCAAGGACTTTAAAAAGTCCCCAGTTCTTGCTCAGCTTTTGGAATGGTCCAAAAGGGGCATGCAGCCACATCAACACACCCGCTCTGGACCTGCCCCTCCATAGGTCCAGTTCTTTCCGCAGGACATCACTAATGTTATAAAACTTATTTTGTTGATGGTCCATTCTTTTGCCCCATGCTACCTCTAGACTCTCTTTCTTGCTTGTTTCTGCCCCACACTATTCTGCATATTTATGTTAAATTCACTTCTAACTTTATCTCTATTTTTAGGATTGGTGACTTCTCCCAGTATCAGAAAAAGCCTCCTACTCCTTAAACATGTCGTGAATCAGAGCAGCCACTGGCAGCTTGTCTGACTCACACACCGGAGTGTTTAGATTTCGAACTCGGCAGGCGGGTAATTGATGGATGGAGTGGAATTAACCAGGCACAGACACGTGTAGGTTACAGGAGTTTGTTTACTTACGTCGCCTAGATAATGATAACGACACAGGCGAGCCTTTGTTCCATTACAGCCTTGGTTACAGAGTTGAGTACACGCATATAGCTTCGATTACAGAGTTGAATACACGCACGCAGTCAGGTTACAACGGGATAATGACGGACGTGGCGCCGGAACGAACGGCCGAGCTTGCAAGACTTTCTACGTCAATATTTTTCGCTGACGGGGTGATTGATTGGGAATTGATCAATTTCCTACTCCTCTGGTGACAAGCACAGGTGTTTCCTGTGAGATCCCCAGAGCTGTCCGACTTGGGCGGAAACCGTTAAACTATTTATAGGCAGAGGTGTTTGACATAGATACCCAATCATGAACCGTTATATGGCATCTTTCATTTTTTGGCAAGCAGTAGCTCTTTGTCTCCTCAAGTTACAAGGTAGTGGGTTAGGTTTCTCTACCTGTTACGTGTGTGCTACGTGTGAGGAGCTTACGCTTATTTTATTTTTTTTGACCAATTATATATAGTTTCCCCTAGCATTTTATTTCAGCTGACCAATTATCTAGTACACTCATGTGTTTCTCAGACCACTGCTTCCTCAGCCTCCAGGCCAACCTGGGGATACAGCTGGAAACAGGCAGAGGACTGTGGAAGCTGAACTGGAAGACAAGCGGATCAGACACAGCTACAGAGAGTGTTATGCGGGCTGGAGGATTTAACTCCTCTCATCTGGAACTCCCTCCCCCTTGAGTTCTGGAAGCATTTTCTGGAAGCACCCCAGGAAGCAAAGATAATTTGGGGTATTGTTTGGGAAGTATATGTTAATATAAGTTATATTACTTGTAACAGACCCACTTCATCTACACTAGAATGATCCTAACAATGTCAACCCATGTGATTTATGCAATGCTCTTCCCTCCACCCATAATCATACTAACTTTCTCCCAGCAGGTACAAAACAGTGTGGTACATGCAAACCCATAAACACGGCTCTGGACAATCAGACCACAGCGAATTACTTCATCCTCCAGGGGCTGACAGATCATGAAGACCTGAAGATTCCCCTCTTCATGCTGTTCCTACTGATTTATATCACCACCCTTCTGGGGAACCTGGGAATGATCCTGTTGATCAGGTACAGTTCCCAGGTTCACACACCTATGTACTTCTTCCTCAGTAACTTGTCTCTTGTTGATCTCTGCTATTCTTCAGTTTCTGCTCCAAAGTTGCTAGATGACATCTTAGGAAATGCCAAAGCTATTTCCTATAGTGCCTGTGTTGCCCAGACTTTCCTTTTTTTCTGGTTTTTGACCACAGAAGTGTTCCTGTTGGCTGCGATGGCTTATGACCGCTACACAGCCATCTGCAACCCACTGCTCTATACTGTGGTTATGAGTACGAAGCTTTGTGTTCAACTAGTGGCTTGGTCATATCTTTGGGGTCTTTTGAACTCACTGACACACACGTGCTTACTGAAGCTTGCCTGCTCAGATACCCATATCAATGAGATTCTCTTCTTAGTCTTATCAAAGGCTATAAGCTCTTTCAGCACATTGATTATCATCATCTCCTATTTGTACATTCTGTTTGCCATCCTAAGGATCCATTCGGCTGAGGGAAGACGCAAAACCTTTTCCACCTGTGCCTCTCACCTGACAGCTGTCATCGTCTTCACAGGGTCTCTTATTTTTAGCTACATTCAGCCCACTTCCAACTACTCACTGGAGCAGGAGAAAGTTTCAGCCGTGTTTTATTCTCTTGTTGTCCCCATGCTGAACCCCCTGATCTACAGTCTGAGGAACAGAGAGGTGAAGGATAACCTAAGGAGGATGATTACCAGGAAAAAAAAAATCTATTAACTTAATTATCAGAATGAATGTGATAATTTGCTTGGAATAAAAAAGAATTTATTTTATGTCAGTGCCTGGATTCTTCCACTTCATAAATGTTCTTTTGCAAGTATGTGGAGTCCAGAATTGATAATGCTGTCGAGTATGGATGCATTTAAAATATTGGAAAATAAAATATGTGTATTTGATATGCCCCAGCTACTGTTAGTGACTACAGAATACTCACTTCTAAATTTCTGGTCATCAACATTCGTTTCCTATTTTCTTTGTACTGCCACCAGAATGCATTACCACAGAAGGAAACTGAATCCATTAATAATTTTTAAATCAATTTCACAAATACATGAGAGGAGAATATTCCCATTTCACTAAAATTTGTGATGAAATACATTTGAGATCAAATTGATTCCATTTTTTAATTAAATTAAGTGAATGTAGCCACTTTTAAATGATTCTCTACACAATCCTTTGCCTCACTGTAATTATAATTATTCAAAATATTAATCCATGATGGTATTTTGATGTAAATTTGAGTTTTTCACTAAATGAGATTTTAACTGAAATGCTTTTCATTCTAAAAAATGATCTTTCTGTCAAAATACACAACCTTTGCAAAAACCTTTTGAAAAACGTTGATTCTTAGAAATATTAATAATGCATATACTTCATAAATGTTATTCTGGTCTCTCTGAGGAGTTGTATTTTATCCAGCACCATCATCCAGTTCCCATTTAACCTCAGGCTCCCAAGCCTCCATGAGTTATCATGATGATATCAATCCTGTGATATACCATGAAAGAAGATTTGGAGACTAGGTATTAGTGCAGGGGTGCCCGTCCTGTGGCTGCTGTGTCTGGAGCCCCATGGGGTCAGTAAAGGGAGGTGCTAGAATAGGTGCTAAAACCTCCAGCATTGAGTAGAGCATGGCCAGGATCCTGCTGCCGAAGGAGGTGTCTGGTATCAGTGCCAAAAGCCAGGTTAACCCTTCTATGGCAATGGAGTCAGAGCTGAATTCAGAGCTTTGGATTTTTCACCATATAATACTGCTGTGGTTGTGGGAGCAGGGAAAGGTTAACCTGGATCTTTGTGGTGACATTCTCATGCAGTTTTCTGCCCTGCTCCATCTGTGCAGCTAGAAGCCCAACTCCCCTGCACCCATTCTGGCTGCCCCGGGTTCAAACTCTGTCATGGCTCTGGTGGATCAGAGTGGAACTGCGGGAGGGTCAGGGCTTAATTTGTGGCACTGCAGACAAAAAGTGGACTATCACTATCTTACCATACCACTATCAAAGTTGGCTTCACCCTGTGAAAGCACTGAGGGTGGAAACCAAGGCTATAGGTAGACCTATGCAGGGTAGGCAACCATATATGAGGTTTCCAAAAGACAGGTAGCATTTTGTCCAGTCTTTTTGAATGCAACTTCAGGTAGGGATAGACATAATAACTGAAGTGTTTGAAAAGACAGCTGCAATTTAAAAATGGAGCATTTTTTCTATGGATAGATGTGCAACCACATGTTATACCCCATCTGAAGGCTTGAAAATTGCTGCAGCTGAATGCAACAGCTCTAGTATCCAGCCTAGGATGCAATAGAGGACTACATCAATATATGGCTCCACTCCCTCACACCACAGGGCCAGGGGGACTGTCAGTTGACTACAGATCCCACTCTGCCCAATAAGAGCGGTAGGGAGCACAGTCCACATTTCTGGACCCCTTCCTGGACACTGCTCTCACTGGAATGAGGACACATTATGTCTGCTCTCACCTGTAGTCAATGCACATGCTCAAATGAAGAGTTGCTCACCAATGATCTGAGAGTGTGCTAGGGTCTTCAAACAACATGCCTTTCAGTGGAACACCATTAGTCATGGTGCTGCAGATGTGGTTGGGGGGCCCATACAGGAGCCAGTGGGAGAGGAGATCTGCTGGATAATGCAGGGGCTTGGGAAACAATGCATAGAAATGTGGGGTATTGATAGATTTGTGAGGACTGCTGGTAGGTCTTGAGGACTGTTGGTGGGACTGTGGTGTATGTGAGAAACAAATGTTTTGGTATAAGGGGCTGCGAGAGAAGGTGAATGTGGGAGCTTTGAGAAAAAATGTGATGTACTGTGGGACCACTGGGGAAGTAGGTAGTAATGGCATCTTATGATTTAGGGAGCCAGGACTAGGGAGGTGGTCATGGGAACAGTGGATGTTGGTGGCCTGGCAAGGTTGGAATGCATGAAGCTGGGCTTTGGTTGTGATCAATGATAACAGGTCTACAGGCTGTGAGATGCAGAGAAATGGTCTTATGAGGTAATAGGTAAGAGTTTGTGCATGAATTAGCTGAAGATCTCTGTAGCAATCTTTGGCTTATCCCCCAGTGGATGTTCATTCTGCAATCACTGAAAGTTTTTTCTACTCTTCTTTTACTCTGAAAAGCTTTCAAAAGCTTTCAGAAGCTTTGGGTTTGTCCTAATGCAGAACCCCCCCCCCCCCCCCACACAACAACACCAAAAACAA